GTTAAGTTTGAGGGTGTGGCGAGGTTTGTGGGCTAACATTCAGACTGTGCCTTAAAGTGGGATATTAAACACTCAGGTTTTGAAAAGTCCTTTTGCCCTTGTTAGAGCATCACCACCCCCTCCCCATAAGCTAATCTTTGAAATGCTAACATTCTTACTTTATTATGCAGAACAGCTTGGCTCTGTTTGACTTGGGGCTAGCTTTTTTATTCAATGACCCATCATTGTGTTTTTCTAAATAAAAGACAAACTATTCCAAAAAGGATCTCTCCGAGGACGCAGAGCTGCTGTGGCTAATGGTGGGTTTTATATTTTCTCTCTTCCTGCTTCCTTTCTTCCTAGCACACCTGCTCAGAATGTTTAAGATGAGCAGGGGGAGAGAGTTCACATGAACAGAACTCATCCTGGAACACTTCCTGGAAAAAACAAGGATTTAGAGGGATTACCTACTTTGCTGAAGGTTAACAGAGCTAGTAAGTGGCAGACCTAGATTCAAATGCAGGGAGCCTGGCTCAAGTCTACGCTGTTATTAGTCACCATGCTTTTGTGCAGACTTGGAAAACAAACATGCTTTAATGGAATCCCAGTCGACCTCTCATTCAGAGCCACAGTTAAGTGTTTCAGTTCTCAGAGCCTGTTTCCTGACTGTAATAATATAGGTGCATTAAAACCTACCTCAGAATATTACTTTGAACATTAAATCAGCTAACACATGGAGAGTGGCTCATAGGAGAGTCAATGCATTTTAATATTCCTCCTTTATATTTTCTATGTTGAGTGGAAAGTATCATTCACAGCATTCTTAAGGGGAAACAAAAAGTTTCTGAGATGATTTAACTTTGTGAAAAAAAATCATAAAAAGAATTTAGGGACAAATCAAATGTCAACGCCTATTCTTTTATTTTTATTAATATTATTTAAACAAGAGGGAAGGAATGACCATTGATCTGCAGCCAAAGAAAGGAAGGGTATTGCAAGAACAATACAATTTGCTCTATTAAAGGAAAATCAAACAATTGGCTTATATGGGAGGCTCGACTTAGAAAACATGACACAGAATCACAAATAATTAGGTCGATTTTTGCTCCGAGTTACAACTGCCTTTTTTCAACATTGTGACTTTCCTTGGAGACTGTTTAGCAGAGTGACAAGCAACCCCCTTCCTGTCTGCTTCAGGCGACCCACGCAATGTTTCCAGGTGTTACTACCACACAATGAAAAGGTAAACTTGAAATAAAACTATTGTTCACCGTGTAGCTACTTAAAACACAGGTCTTTGTATATATAAGAAAAAGAATAAGACTTGTGTGTTCTGCATTTTTGCCTCTCACTTGCCTAGAAATCCTTTTAGACAGCGATTTGTAAATATCATATCCTGAATTTCATTAATTCCAGTTTTCAGTATTGTCGACTGAAATAAATGCACAACCTACAAGCTGAGAGTTATGCTTTATTCGATGGACCTTCTGAGGACTCGAGTCCAGGAGGCAGCCTCTCAGATCGCTCTAAGAGACTGCTCTGCCCAGGCAAGGGAAAAGCCAGGACATAGAGGAGTTTTTGCAACAAAGACCAGGTAGTGGGAACATTAAAATATTACTGTTAATTATAGAAAGCCAGATATCTCAAGTTAAGGAATTTAGTGATTTTCTGTGGATGAGAAGGTGCAAAGGTCTGGGCTCACTGAAATTATTTCTTTGATATGCACCTAGCCATCTAGGGCCAGTGTCCTGTTCTTTCTCATCCTGAGTTCCCTCAGGGGGCACCCTCGGGGGTGGCTGCAGAGGCTGGGCTGCCTGCCCGACTCCAGCCTGAGTTCCCTCTGCTCACTGCCGGGGGCGGCAGTAGCAGCTGATGACTTGATGACCACAGCATCCTTTGTGTATTGATATGGCTGCAGTATTTTTCATTCACAGTACTCTTTAAATGTACACAGCCATGGAAACTCCCCCTCATCTGAGGCTTCACTGTCCATGGTTGCAGTTACCGGCAGTCATCTGGGGTCCAAACATATTAAATGGAAAATTCCAGAAATAAGCAATTCAGAAGTTTTAAATTGCGGGCCGTTCTGAGTAGCTTTAATGAAATCGCACGCAGTCCTGAGTGGTACAATGAATCATCCCTTTGTCCAGCGCATCTGAGCCATTTTGTCACTTAGTGTCTGTCTCATCTCGGTTACCAGATCAATTGTTGCGGTTTTGCAGTGATTGTGTTACGTGACCCTTCTTCTAGTAATAATGGCCTCAAAGCACAAGAGTAGTGATGCTGGCCATTTGAATCTGCCAAAGCATAGCCATAAAGTGCTTCAACGAAGTAGAAAGGTGAAAGTTCTCAGTAAGGAAAGTAAAAGTCACATTCCATTAAGGTCTACGGTGAGAATGAATCTTCTATCCGTGAAATTGTGAGGAAGGAAAAAGAAATGCGTGCTAGTTTTGCTGCTGTACCTCAAACTACAAAAGTTAGGGCCACGGTGCCCGACAAATGCTTAGTTAGGATGGAAAAGGCATTAAGTCTACAGTAAGGTATTTTGAGAGAGAGATCTACATTCGCATAACTTTTGTTATGCTATATTGTTATAATGCATGCAAATGTTTTTCTAGGGCAGTGGTTCTCAACTGGAGGAAATTTTGCTCCGGTGGGGGGGGCATTTACCAATCACATCTTGAGGTGGGTGGGCAAGGGGCTGCTCCCAGAACTTCATGGGCAGAAACCAGGGATACTGCCAAACACCCTACAGTGCACAGGGCAGCCTTTCGTGATGAAGAATTATCTGGCCCCAAATGTCCACAGCGCGGAGCCTGGAAACCCTGCTCTTAGTAAACACTCTAGGAATGGCTCTTTGTGCCGCTTTAAATTTTGATAAACGCTTCTGAATTGTTCTCCAGACCTCCAGGGTGGCTACCCCAACCCACTCCCACAATCCCAACTTCTGCCAAAACCAAGGACACGACGGTCTGAATTCTAAAATCTGCACTTCCTAACGTTTGGATGTCTGCTATAAATGGTGAGTTCCTGGCATTCGCCCACTTCACTCTCTAGGAGTTTTCTACCTTTTCTGCATCCTAGTGCTTTGTCCCTAGTCCTGATAGCTTCCCCGGTGCTTTGTTAGCTTCTTGTCATACAGACCAGATGAACTTGAAAAAGTTAATTGTCTGTCTCATACTGTCTTTGCTTTCTGCTTTTTGTTTTTCCTACCCCAGATTGTGAACATATTTCCTTGCGCTTTCTTCAGTAATTTTGCGGATTCATTTTTAAGGTTGGGACTTGAATCCGTTGACGATTTCTTCCTGTGACTGGTGGGAGGGAGCAAATCCCCTCTTCTCTTCTTGCCGCTGCCGTGAAACTGTCGCCCCGCCCTGCATCCACGCGGTCCTCCTCCTCCTCCCTAGGCTCCAAGGGCAAGACCCGGTCAGCCCCTTGGACTCTTGCCTCACCCCTCCCCGCCCGAGGACTGGTCCCTCTGCCCTCCCATCTCCCCTGCGCTCCTGCCAACTCCTGCAAAGACATCTGGGCGCCATCAGCCCCTGTGAGAGCCCGTACTTCCTGTGGCGTCTCCTCCAGCGGCTGCCGCAATCTTTGCTTGTCCACCGCACAGCTTCGCAAAGAGCCCACACTCGCCTCCATTTCCTTACCTTTCACAGCTGGCCCGCTGCTGAAACGGGCCAATCACAAACGGGCCAATTCCTTCCCGGGGGCACAAACACTAAAGGGACCGTGACAATTTTCCCCAAGTGCCAGCCATTGCTTTTCTACACTAGGCACCGGTTGAAGATACGCTTCAACTCAGCACAAAGTTGACAATGAGCAATGAAGTTTAATGAACCGGTCCTGGGAGGTCACCCTCACAGACCAGAATCACTTCCATGAGCTAATGGACTGATCAGGCAGGGGAACCACAGGCCAGATCCCTCCCTCCTCACCCCCCTCATGCAGATGGGCTAACTGAGGCTCAGGACTGAGCAACCTGTCCAGCACTTGATCTACTCCAGGCCGAAGGATCAGCAGAACTGACATCCACAGGGCATCTGAGTTGCAAGTCCAGACCCAGCACCCTCTGAGCCACTCGCTGCCTAAGGCGGAGTGTGGCCGAAGGCAAGCTTCCAATCGCAGGCAGTGCTGGAGGCTCAGGGGTCTGGCTGGGCATGGTGTCTGGTGGGTGTAGAGGGGAGGGGGTGGGGCGTGGCACCTGGCAGATCAGCCTGAAAGACACGAAGCAGAAAGAGAAGCCCCAGCTCACAGCCAGGGGATGGGTTTCACCCAGGCAGGTCACCCTGACCGAGGAAAACAGTAAATGCAAAGTGGGCAAGGGCCCAGCTGCCCCCCAAGGAGGCCACACTAGGTGTGTGAACCAAAGAGCAGGTGTACACAGATCCTCACTGAAGATCACGGGGCCAGCGGGACCTGGGGGAAGATAAAAGGTGATGGTCAGGGAACCTCAGAGGGACCAGGCAGGTGCCCAGTCTGAGCAGGAAGCAGGTAGGAGGGTCCCAGGCCCTCAGTGCAGCTCAAGTTACTACCAATGTCAGGGAGGAGGCTCTGTGGGTCGGTGCAGGGAACTTGAAGGCCACTGCCATTGACTGGACTTGTGGTGCCCCAGTGCCAGGTTGGCCCTCGGGATTGAAACTGCCTGGAGCTTGATCGCGGCTAATTCCAGGCTCCGCAGCCTCAGGAAAATTATCCCAGCTCTCAGAGCCTGTTTTCTCATCGTCACACGGGACACGAACACGTACACTGCACAGAATTCTTTTGAGAATTAAATGATAAACATTATTCGGCGCTTTGTGAATGCATTAGAGGGGTCTGTCCATGGTGGCAATCACATCCAAGGAGGTTAGGAAGGGGAGTAGAGGGGTGTCTATGTGAGAAAACTCAGGGAATAGCATGAGGGAAGGTGACCAGCACTGCCTTCCAGGAAAGAGGAGCAGCGTCCTTGCTCCCTGTCTGCTCTCTGCAGTGAGAAGCCCCAGGCCTGACATACCAGCCCCGCCAGCGGCTCCCCATCCTCAGTCGTCCCCCGTCGATGGGTATGTTAGGATCAGCCGCTCCGTGGAGTTGATCTGCAGAAAGGGGAAGGTGATCAGATCCCCTGGGAAATGGTTTTCTCTGACCGAAGTAGATGGGAACCTGGGTTTGTGGATTTCAGGGTCCCAGGGAAGGTATCCTCCCATCCCTCGCCCCACTTTGCACATGTGCAGTCGCTGCTTAACACCCATCCCCCTCACTTGGGGCCACCACGCACTTGCCTGGCCATGGTCCACTATGTCCCAGAGTCTGGAATCTGTTCCTTGGTACTTCCGCCCAGGGTAGAGCTCCCATTTGAGGGGCAACCCGGACATGAACGCACAGGTCTGGGACCTAAGCATCTGAGGGTGCACCGCCATCTGCAACATGTGGACTGTGATGCCGGCTTCATGCTGAAGGAACTGGAGAGGAGGCGGCACATCAGAGGCAAGATTCCCCTGACAGCTGAGTTGTGTACCAACAGCCGTGGTCCTGGATCCCCTGGCCCAGCTGGCAGGCTGTCCAGGTCAGAGGGTCGATGCTTTTAGAATCCCATATCCAGAGCCTTGGCACCATCACTTGGGGGTTTTGCCTGGACCCCAGATGATCAGTTTTCTCTAGGGCCCCCCGGTACAATCCTCCCACTGACCTGCACCCCACACCACCCTGGAAACTTAGCCTCTGTTTACAGCCTGTCAGCAATTCTGAGCTTACACTGATTACCCTCTTGGCCCTCTGCCTTGGCCAGTTCTATAGTTTTTAAAATTCCCTCTTTAAAAATAGGATATCCAGAGACCTCAAAGTATGGGACTGATGGATTTTTACCCCCTAAAAAATGTATTGTAGTTTTGGTCATGGCCATCAATACTTGTTGTGAACAGTTAAAATAAAATTCAGCCAATCCAGAAAGGTATAGGACGAGAGAACGTTAACCAAATCTCCAGGGTGATGCAGCAAAATGGAAAGTTCTTTACCAAGTTTTCTATCAGGGTGTTTGTCTTCTTGGTGATGCATGTTTTCCTGAGTTAAGAATCAAGCCTTTTATTAGTTATACCTGTTGCAAATCATTTTTCTCAGTTTGTTGTCCTAACTTTTTGATGGGCTGTTTTTGTAAGAAGGATATTTTTAAATTATGTGGCAAAATCTCTTTCCCTTTGGATTCTGGCTGTAGGTCAGATGTCAGCGAAGTGTGGACCCAGTCTGGCCCAGCCCTTGCTTCTGTAAATACAGTTTTATTGCAAAGAAGCAAACGCTTCTTCCTTTATGTACTGTCCCTAGCTGCTTTTACCCTGCAAGGGCGGAGCTGGGTAGTTGCTATGGAGTCTTTAAGGTCTGCAAAGCTGAAAACGTTTACTGTCAGACACTTTACAGACCGTTTGCTGATCCTTGGCATTGGATCTCGCTCAACAAGCTACTTCCCACCCCAAGATCACATGTGAAAACACAGCTCTATTAAGAAACAATCATTCTAAATTGTGAAAACCATGCTCACCTTTCAGGCGAGCCTCCCTCACCCATGGCTAAATTATTTGAAGAATCCATTCTTCTCCCACTGAACACTTCTTACGCTTTTTAAAAACTTATGAAAATATTTCATCCCGAGTTTTCTGCATGCTTATTTGGTGGAGGTTCGGAAGAGGCTTTCAGTGTTCTCCAAAAATTTTCTCGATAACCTATTTGAAGATTGCTAGGAAATTGGGTTATATTGTTTAAAATGACAATAAATTGTTTACTTAATACCTGGACAAGTGTTTACCGTATTACAATGAAGTGTTTATATTTCATCCCTCAAAGATGCGCTGTGAGCCAAACGCCTGTTCTAGGCCAGCTGTTTCCACCCTGAGTGATTATCCTTATCACCTGCAGAGCTTTAAAAACCTAACGGGTCTTAAACTCCACCCAAGCCTCCTGAATCAATTTCTACGGGGAGGGGGGAGTCTGGAATGTGTTACCTCTCAAACGCTCACCTAGGCGACTCAGACGGCAAGCCGTGTCTGTAACTCACTTGCTGCAGACATATATAATTCCCATTTTGCAGATCAGGAACCTGAAGCCAATGTGAATGTTACACTGTTGGCCCACCTGCTGCCTCTAGATTGCAATGCTTTTGCTTGCACCTGTCTCCTTTCCAGTCTTGGAGAACTCCTACTCATCCTACAGAGCCCAGCTGGCTAGTCACTCCATCTGTGAAGCCTTTTCAGCATGAACTAGGGGCTTCTATCTCACTTCTGCACGCAGGAGCACCTTATCTTTTGTAGATAAACTCATGCCTGTGGACCCTCAGGGCAGGAGGTTCTGGGGCCAAGGTCAGCATATTCAAACCCCCAAAGGCCAAGTTTCCCAGCGAAGGAGAATTGCATCCTCTTCCCTCGCTCCCGGGCCCTACTGCAGAATGTGCTGGGCCCCCAAGGGTTGGGGTCCCTGCACCACCCTGCCTCCCTTTATGCCATGCCCATGACTCACTGTGCTGCCCGGGAAGCCCCTGCCCCAAGCTCGGTGGGAGGGACTGACATGCAAAACCGCCATCACCCAGGTCCTCCCCTTGTCATCCTCGTAGATGCCAGGCCTCCGGTACCACAGGCAGCGTGGAGGCGACCCAACGGGCGGAGAAGCTTCTGCCATTGCAAGGCTGCGCCCCGCGGCGGCCTCAAGGCACTGGTGGGGCCTCCCAGGTGCTTAGCCTTCTTAAGTGGATTGGCTCCTGCGCGGGGCGGGGCCAGCGATCCTGAGGGCGGGGCCGGTGAACCCTGCAGGGATGAGCCCGGCCAGTGTGTCCAGGTGTGACAGTGCGGAGCGGGGAAATAAGGGGCGGAACCAGAGGAGAGGGCGGGGGCAGGGAGAAGGGGGCAGCCGCCTGCTTCAGGTGGCAGGCAGGGGCGGAGCCAAAGACCAGGGGTCAGAGTTAATGGACCCGCCCATCTGGAAGGCCAGGGACTGGGGTCAGGAGCTTCAGGGGCCGGATAGGCGGCAACCCAGGCACAGGGCCACCCGAGGGCTCTGCGCAGGGGGAGGGTAGCTCCCTAAGGTCAACGCCCATCTCCCCTCCGGTGATTCTTCTGTAGCCTGTTCCCAGCACACTGCTTATGCCAGTCCTGGAGCAAACCTGTGAGCCAGGGATTCTGAGCTGGCATGGACTGCCCTGTTGTCCCTCCACTCCTGTGGCCATTCCTTCAACATGACTCCATTTGCGGACCCCTTGGGACTGTAGGCTCAGTGGACTCTCGCCCCTGGAGGTGTCTGGCCAAGGAACGTTCTGAACAAATCAGGCTCTCTCTCCTTAGAGAATGAGCCAGCGGCCCCAGGGGCATTTGCAATGGAAACCACATATAGTGAGAGGAAAGCAAGGCCGTGGGAGGGAGGGCATGTGGCCACCTGACCTGCCCACAGGGTCCAGAGTACCCGCTTGGCCTGGCCAGCTTATTAATTCTGCTTTGCCACAGCAACAAGAGGCAGACCCATGTGGGCTTCCTCTGAATGCAACATGAATAGGGTCTTCTTCCTTTTGGAACCACAAGTGTGATTCTTCTGGTTCATATGAGAATGAGTATTGAGATGATGCTGCTCCTTTGGGACGATTGACATGAGCAGCAGGTAGGACACCCGCCTGTGAGGACCTTGCTGGGCAGCTTCTCTAGAGGCCTGAGCCTCTTTTCACAGCAATCCTCCTCCTTCCCTGGTATTTCCCCATCTGGCGAGGGACTGGAGTGGCCCTAGGAGACAAGGGGCATTACAATCTTGAGTAGTGTGACCACCTACATGGAATCGCACACGTCTGTTAACAGTATTCTGGTGGTTAGGAGCAGGTCCTGCCCACACTCAAAGGTGGCAGGATTGATTACACAACTGTGTGGATACCAGGAGTCAGGGATCATGTGGGCTCCCCGGAGCCTGTCTGCTACAAGTACCAACCCCAATGGGTTACCGTGAGGATGAAATAAGACTGTGTGTAAAGAGCAGTGCCTGGCATAGTGAGTACACGAAAGATGCCAGCTGATAGTTATACTTCCAGCCTAGTCCCCTCCTGGAACAGAATCCATCAGTCCTACCTTTGTAATACTAATGCAGCTAGTATCTCCATCACTCAATATCACAAATATGTATGGATATTCTCAACCTCCCTCTCTGATGAGCAGGTAAGTGGCTGGCTGTAAGTGGGTTGAGGGCAGAACTGATTAATGCATGCAGGGCACCTATATTGCCAAATCAGACATTCTACACATTATTTCATTTAAGTCTCCCACCAACTCTATGAGCTAGAGACTGTCATCCCCATTTCACAGATGAAGAAACTGAGGCTCAAGCAGTTTAGTAACCTGAATAATGCAGGTGGCAGAGAAAGAGTATGAACCCAGCTGTTCTTGGCTCTAATGCCCACGCCATTTGTTGCCTGCCTTGGCCAAGTCTGGCTCACTACATGGAAGAGGCAGAACCAGGAGGAGGGAGATCCAGAGTGGCTGCTGATGAAATGATGGTGGAGCTGAGGTAGAGGCTAAGAACACTTCCCCGTGAGTAGGTGCTCAGAAGGTAAGTAGAAGAGGCTTCCACGAGCAAAAAAAAAAAAAAAAAAATCAGATACTGTAGCCCCTGAAAATGAACAGAAGACTTCACGCACCACCTTCTTCTTAACATGTGCTCAACCCCTGCACCAAAGGAAGCCTGGAGCTGGCAGGTGATATGAACAGAAGTTTGGACCCTTGTCCTTCAGCCTTTGACTATATCATGTCTGAGATACACCAATGCCTCCTAGCCAAGTTGTCCAACTCTGGTACCTGCAGCTTGAAGGATTCACTCTCCGGGGTGGGTGTTACCAAAATCTTTAGGAAGCACTGTGAGTTCTCCAGGATTCTGGGCAGAGCCTGTTATTGACAGTGTAATTACAGGTAATGACGCCTGGGCCCAGTGCTATTCTCCTCCATCAGAGGGCGCCCTTCACAAGCCTCAAGTCCTGGTGTCCTGGTGCCGGGCATTCAGCCTAGGGGAATGATTCTAAACCACAAGCAAAGGGGCATGAGCAGGACTTGGAAGGCTGGGTGAGGGTCATCAAGTTCTCTGCACATTTTGCTCATCTCCTCCCACTTACTGAGCCCAAACTAGCCAAGGCAGGCAGAACACTGGAGACAGAGAGCCTGGAAACTGTATGGCACACATGGGGCTGTTCCACAGGGGAAGAAGCATGAGTAAAAACTTGGAGAGGGGATGCTCAGGGTGTGCTTGGAGATCGGAGAATAATGAGGATTATCCAGTGCTGGGGATACAGGCTCATAAGGTGAAGGAAAAGAAGATGGTAGTGCTATGTGTGGGTGGGTGGATGCCAGTCGATTTTGATCACATTGGTCAGCAGTGGTGACAACGCTTGGGAAACAGCATGGTGTAAGTACACACTTAATAAATGTCTGAACTAATGATAAAACAAAAGAGTGACGCAATAATCAATGACTCACTAGAAATGGACTGGATGGAAATCGTTCAGGTAATATTGCAGGCAAGAACATCCAAGTTCCAGATCTGCTTATTTCAAACAACCAACAGAATAAATTGGCAGAATGATAAAAGTCAACCTAGCTACGGAAGTAACGAATGAGGATTTAGGGAAGTTTTGTCTATTCCAAGGGATTGAAGATATACTCTGTTTTCCTCTAAAGTTTTTATCATTTTACTTTTTATATTTAGATATGATTTATTTTGTGTCTGATGTGAAGAAGAGCTCTAGATTATTTTTTCCATGTTGATATCAAATTAACTTAATACTGTTTATTAAAAAGAGTATCCTTTCTCTCCTGTACTGTATTATCACTTCTGTCATAAATCTGGAACATGTATGAATGGGTCTGTTTCTGGACTTTCTTTTCTCTTTCATTATTCTGGGGTTTTTTTATCCTTATGTCAATAGCACATTGTTAATTACTGTATCTTTAAAATAGGTATGGCTATCTTGTAGTATAAATCTCCTAGCTTTATTCTTCTTCTAGATTGCCCGGCTATTGTGTGTGTCAGCCTAAAGGGTGTTTGGGGAATGAGAGTAATATTTAAATTAGAGAACTCTGAGTGAAACAGATTGCTCTCCGTAACGTGGGTGGGCCTCATCCAATCAGTTGAAGGACTGAATAGAACAGAAAGACTGGCCTTCCCGGGCAAGAAGGAATTCTCCAGTAGACTGCCTTTGGGCCTTCATCTGCATCACTGGCTCTCCTGACTCTCCAGGTTGTGCACCTTCGGTTCTCTAGGTCTCTGGCCTGCCAGCCCACCCTGCAGATACTGGACTTGCCAACCTCCACAGCCATGTAAGCCAATCCCTTATAATAACTTTTTCTATTCTCTAACCCTTGCCATTCCGTACAAATTTTAGAATCAGTTTATTAATTACCACCCCTCTCCTCCAGAAAGTCTGCTGGGATTCTGACTTGGATTGTGTTGTATCTGTAGGTCTGTTTGAAAAGAACTAACATCTCTACCACACTGAGCCTTTCAGGCTCAGAGCAGTGCATGTCCCTCCCTCCATATCTTCAGTTGTCTTTAAGTTTTCTCTGGTTTCATTAAGCTTGTTATTAAGGGTTTGATTGTTGCTTTTTAAGTGATGTTGCTTTAAACTCTGTGTTACATTTGTTTGTTGCTGGTATAGCCAAAAGTGACTGATTTTTGTATATTGTCCCTACATCCAAAAGTTCACTTAACTCTAATAATTTTTCTGACATTTTGGGAAATTCACAGCCATTATATCTTCAATTATTCTTTCATTCTCTCTCTCCTCTCCTTCTGTGACTCTAGTTACACATTGCTAGTCCTTTTAAACTGTGTACCATATAACTTATAATGAAATAATATCTTATAATAACTTATAATTAAAAAGAATGTGAAAGGAATATATATAACTGAATCACTATGCTGTCCCTTGAAACTAACACATTATAAATAAATAAATAAGGAAAAATACTTTAATCAAAAAAAATGGAGCAAGAGGGTGTTGAGGGAGTCCATTCCTTTAGACACAATAATAATATTTTCCATCTACTGTTGAGTTGGGAAACCAGGGGCACATAGCATCCAGCCTGCGGCAGGAACTCCAGAACGAATGCCTCCCGCCTTCCTGTTCTGACTTCTGTTACCACATCTGACTCCCTTTCCTTGACTTCAAGCATGTGGCTTTGTGGTGCCTGGAGGGTGTTTAAGGTTTTATATCCTTGTCTCCACTCAACCCTGGCTCGCTGAGCCAAAGGTACCTTGGAGTATTTGAAAGTACATGGGGTTTGCTGTCAAACATCCCTGAATCTAAAGCTTAGTTCCAGCCCGTACTAGTTGGGTGATCTTGAGCACGTAACTTAACCGCTTTGAGCTTCCTTCTCATCACTTGTATCACGAATGAGGTAGCAAGTTTATCTGGTTGTCATAAGGAATAATATTTGCAAATCCCCTGGCATGTGGTAAGTCCTCCCTCAGTCAATGGTAATTTGTTAACGGAGGGTCAGATACCATTTCATATTCATCTCTGTTCCAGCATCAAATACAGTGCCCGGAGACATAGGAAGGACCCAGCAAATACTTGCTGGGCTGAAATATTCTTTAGTCAAATTATTTCCTGGTTCAATACAGCTCCAGTCAAATTCAACATGAACCCAGAGGTGTGC